TAGAAGAATTCTATTGATTAAATCTATTTATTCTCAAATTTAAATTACATATTTTTTTATATAATTCAATTATTAATTTATTTTAATTTTATATTATGTTTAACTTTGATCATTTAATATTTTTATATTAATTGATTAAATTATTTATTTGTATATCAATTTTATTTTATTCTCTTACACATATTTCCGTTTATTCTCATCAAATTAAGATACAATTTCTGATTGCGGTCCTCCAGGATATCCGGGTTCCTGAGTTGTTAAAGGCAAATCAACGGGTCCTGATGGGTAACCGTGTTTTGGTGGCTTTGCTGATGCTTTTCCTCCTTTTGGTGGTTTTGTAGCTTCAGGCAAATCACCGGGATAGCCGGGTTCTTGAGTTGTTAAAGGCAAATCATCGGGTCCTGATGGGTAACCTTGTTTTGGTGGCTTTGCAGATGCTTTTCCTCCTTTTGGTGGTTTTGTAGCTTCAGGCAAATCATCGGGTCCTGATGGGTAACCTTGTTTTGGTGGCTTTGCAGATGCTTTTCCTCCTTTTGGTGGTTTTGTAGCTTCAGGCAAATCATCGGGTCCTGATGGGTAACCTTGTTTTGGTGGCTTTGCAGATGCTTTTCCTCCTTTTGGGGGTTTTGTAGCTTCAGGCAAATCATCGGGTCCTGATGGGTAACCTTGTTTTGGTGGCTTTGCAGATGCTTTTCCTCCTTTTGGTGGTTTTGTAGCTTCAGGCAAATCATCGGGTCCTGATGGGTAACCTTGTTTTGGTGGCTTTGCAGATGCTTTTCCTCCTTTTGGTGGTTTTGTAGCTTCAGGCAAATCATCGGGTCCTGATGGGTAACCTTGTTTTGGTGGCTTTGCAGATGCTTTTCCTCCTTTTGGGGGTTTTGTAGCTTCAGGCAAATCATCGGGTCCTGATGGGTAACCTTGTTTTGGTGGCTTTGCAGATGCTTTTCCTCCTTTTGGGGGTTTTGTAGCTTCAGGCAAATCATCGGGTCCTGATGGGTAACCTTGTTTTGGTGGCTTTTCATGTTTTTGCTTTTTGTCTTTATCACAATCATCTTCTGGCTTGGGTGACACGTTACAACCGCTCATTTGGCTGAAATAACGGTTACAGACACGTCCGCATTTTTTCATTGTACATGGTTCTGGCGGTGGACACAATGAGCCTCCAGAAGATTGAATTTTCTCAACTTCCTCGCAGCATTGGTCGACTTTTTTGTTTTTTCTAAGATTGCTTTTGCAAAAATCAGGATTATTTGATGGGATCGTTGGAGTGCTCACATCACCTGAAATTCATTTAAATTTTGAAAAATTTCTAATTCCGATTAGAGAGCGAGATTTTCAAAAAACTTTGACCTTGATCCTTGACCTTGATTTTAAGTAAGGACCTTGACCAGATTCTTGACCTTGAGTTAAGGAAAAATCAAGGTCAAGGAAAAATCAATGATTATTTTTGCCTGGATCCAGGCCTGATTCTTCATTTTTTTATTTAGACGGATATCTGACGATTAAGTGGGATATAGGGGTACTTAAAGGTATATTATTCGATTTTAAGGGATATTGACGGATTATGTGGATTTGTAGAAGGGGATATCGAGAGATTTAGAGGGACTAAGATTAATATTGTTTATTTGTGGGATTTGGAGGAATTCTTGATCTGGTTGGGTACCTTGACCAGATTCTTGACCTTGAGTCAAGGAAAAATCAAGGAACGCTGAAAAATGCCTTGATCTGGACTCAGGATCCAGGAAAAATCAAGGTCTGGATCCAGATCCAGACCGCTCTATTTCTATTATTAATTCCGATTTTGTGATATTTTCAGATTTCTTGCCATTATTTTTTATATTTATAAAGTATTTACCTTTTTCTATAGGACCTTCTGGATAATGTGATTCTGAAAAACAAAATTAGTTTAACAATAAAAGTAAAGGATATTTATTTTTAATTTATGTATACCTACCAGCTAAAGATATAGCGATAGCCACAAGGCCAATGAAAGTTCCCAGTAATAATTTCATTTTAAAACTTTTCTTTGGATAATGTTAATTATTAAATTAATGTTTTTCCATAAATGATTAGGAGCTTTTAAAGGGTTTGGTATTAAAGTTATAAATTTCTAAAAATCTTTAAATCTTATGCTGTACAAATAATATATTTAATGCGTAAATCGTCTAGAATACTTATTAAAGTAATTTTGGCATTTTTTACTCAAAAATCGTTAATGTCTCCAGGTGTTACAATTTATAGATCTCGTCTAAAAATGTATAAGAGACAGGGGATTTGCGTCAATTCTATTTAAAAATTTTAATTGCCATTTTAGTCTAAAAAATGCAATTGATGCGTCAATTCAACGTGGTTATAGTTTGTACAAAACTGAATTGGCTCTCAAAAGAGATACACGTGTATTCATAAGAATTTAATTATACAATTGAATGGAAGAATAAAAAAATTTAAGATAATTTTTCTAATTTTAAAATATTTGAGGTGATATTAAATTTTATATTGAAAAATAAATAATGTTTAATAGTGATTATCAATGTCCTGTAAATATTTTATATAAATCGGATAACCGAGTCATAGAAAACTAGAAAAAAGTAGGTAGTTTTATAATTTCTTAACACATTACGACTTTCGGTTCTGTAATTGACAAAAATCATGTCATTGATTCATTTTATTTTTTCTTTAGCATCTGAACTTGCTTCACATGTGAAAGTTTCTCAAATGACAATTGAAAGTTACCTCTGATCAAAATAAAATTTTGTTTTCATAGATGCTCAATTGTGAAAGAAATGAAAAATAACTTCTATTTTGAAATCTTAAAACTAAGAACCTTGAAAAACTAAATTTAGGCATTCAACAATTGATTCGAATTGCAACAATTTATCTTTTAGCGTTATTTCGTTAAATAATGCCTCGCGTAATCTGAGGACAAAAATAGAAGAAATTTGAATCTTTGGTTTTCCAAAATTCTTACTATTTTTGCCTGCAGCTCTGAAAAAAAAAGATTTTTGGATTCTAACATTTCAAAATTCTCATAAGCGACGTTAAAAGGAGAAGCCCTTATCATCTTGGGTCGGCTCAGAAACACTTTGGCTTCATATCTGTAACTAGTTCTCCTCGACTTCAGTATCTATGGCCTATTTCTCTTTACAACTTCTTGACCCCTCCAAATCCCATAATAATTTCCTAATAAATTTTTAAAGCTCCTTTTATCCCTCTAAATCCTCTGATATACTTTATCACCTCATATCTTCTGTATCTTCGAAATCATTATCTATCAAACATTTCTACATAAAGTGAGACTCTGCCAATAATTATGAAATAATTATCAATAAGGGATAATTCTGATATCCACTTCTGTTTTCTTCGAGTAATTGTAAACTTTCTATAGTTTTTTTATTTCTTAAACTTTACTTAACACATTCTCGATTGAAAGTTACGTTAAACAGTTTAATCTACATTTATCAGTCATTCATTGATAATTTTTGTGAATTTGAGAAGATTGTCATTCTCGAGAATGAAAATTTTAATAAAATCTATTGATTATGCAATACTCAATTTTTACTTTAATTCCTTGTAAAGATTTATTCAAATTACCTAATCAATTTTATTTAAAATTCATTGACGTAAAAATTTCTTATTAATAAAAAATTTTTTTTTAATTTTTCTTTTAAATTTTTATATTTACACAGAGTTATTGAATTTTAAAAAATTTTATCGACAAGAGAAAATAAAAATTAATAAAGTATATTTTTAGATTAAAATCCTTTGAAAATTTTTAACATATTATCGATAACTTTTAAAAACTATTTTTTAATTATATTTTATATCATTTATTTTAATTTTAAAAAACCCATTCTTTCTCTTAATGCCAAGATTTTCTAAAAGAATTAAAATTTTAATATAATTAAATTAATATTATATTTATTTCTTATTGATTTATATTTAATTTAAATTTTTTAAAAATTTTCTTTCATTTTTTTGAAAGCTAATATTAAAGTTTTACGCAATATAAAATATTTGTCTAGCTTTAATAAAATTTTATATACAATCCAAAACTTAATTGGCAGTCTTTAAAAACGAGTATATTCAATTAATAAAATTAATAAAAAGCCTCTAAAAATAAATATTAATTTTAAAATAAAATTTTAATTATGAGGATATTATTTATTTTCTTCTTTGTTTTTATGGCAATTTCAGTTGCTTTTGGGGAAGGCGGTAATTTTTAATTAAATTTTAAAAAATTGTTTTATTTTTTGAAATAATATAATTTAAAAATATTTTTTTATTTAAAAAATTTAAAAATTTTAAATTTAATTTCAGAAAAGAAAGGTGGCTTTGCTGGAAAGCCTAAGCGTCCAATTAAACAAGGAAATGAAAATCTTACTACATTTATACCTCCGACAACTGAACAATAATTGGAAAGTTCGTCATAAAATCCATAAATACCTTTTTCAATATATTGAATGGGGAAAATACTGGAAGAATTTAATCAAAATAATTGGGAAATTAACAAAATAAAAAATAAAATAATGTCACAAATTATGTAAAATTTAAAAAAATCAAGAAAAGATAAATCTGATTAATATATTCTTTTAATTATTCAAGAACTGTATCTCGAAAAAATTAATAATTTAAAGAAAAATCCCTTAATTTCAAACAAAGAACTAAAAATAGATAATAAATTATTATTAAATCTAGTAGCTAAAAATGAGCATTAATATATAAAATAAAATGATTATAAGTATTTGCCCAGAAAAAGTATCTCCGTGAAATATTATTTAAAAAGTTAAATTCTAACTAAAATATTAAAAACTATTAAATTCAAAAATATTTTTTCAATAAGTATCCTCGTTATATTCCACTTCCAAATCCAAAACTCGCAAAGGGATCAAAATCAACATTTGTATCATTCTTCTTCTTTACTATGATAATTTAAAAATTATTTAAATTTATTAATTATTTTCGGAAAAATTAAAATTTATTAAGTCTTTTTCTAGAAAAATTTACACTTTTATCAAAAAGCAAAGCTTACCGTTTATATCAAATTTCCCAAGCAAAGCATCTTCTAACATTTTAAAGGCAGATTCTCCATAAAGAGATTTAAATTCCTCCCATTCTTTACTAATCAAAAATTCTTCTCTATTAGCATAAATATATTTTATACAAGACTGAAAAGATCGAAGGTTTTGAAAAATAAATTTTTAAAACCTTCTCTAACATTAAAAGATTATAAGTTTTGGCACAATCATAACGTTTTTTAAAATTTGTAGAAGCTAAAATTTGTAAAATTTATAGTTAAAACTTGACAAGTAATTTAGAGTAATTAATGCATTTTAAACCTAGTTTTCATAAATTAGAACTACCACGTTAGGTGGTTGGGAAACTGGAGGATATAACTTCAGTAAAGGGCAATCATAACTATAGTATGTATTAGTAACCCCCTTTAGGTGGCTTTTTGTGAGTTCGGATTATGTCTATAGCTATAACCTATTAAGGTTCTAGGAAAGAATAAAATTGAGCGGTGTTAAAGTTCTGTCCTCTAATGGCAATAATTCATAAAATGACATTTCTAATTAGGAGTTAAAATCGACACTGACCCCTAACCCTGATAATTCTTCAAAATTATACTAGTTTTTAGTTTAATCAAAATAATTTATAAATTTTAAACCAACTAATTGACATAGCCATATAGTGCTCACAAACTTCTTTTAAACTGACAACTTCATATTTGTGGGCAATTGCGTATAAATCCTCCCCAAGTTTCTCAAAAGTACCTTAAATTTTATATAAAAAATATTAGATGATTAAATTTTATCTACTAATTTCAATTTCTCCACTGTAGAAAAATTCGAGCATTGCTCTAAAACAATCTATTGAACAATCAACAATTTTTATTTCACCCTAAAATTTTATAAATTAATAAATTTTATTAATTATCGTCTCCGGTTTGGAAAAAATTAAACTATAATTCAAACCGATATTTAATTAATAACATTTTACTAAATTAAAATAATTTAGAGATTCTATTATTTTATTAATGTTTTGCTTACTATCTTCCTTTCAATCATATTCTGTCCTAGCATTCTTTTAAACACTTCACTATTTTGAGCTAAAACACAACGATGTGTATTTATTGTTTCATCATCAATCTGAAAATGATTTTGGATCTACTACATAAAAAATAAAAACGTGCTTTCGTCAATCGAGAATTCCCTAATTTTTTAGTCCTGATACGGGAGACAGATTCTCGACACAGAAACGTTAGAAATTCCCTAGACCACTTACCGTAAATGCTGAAATAATGTCATTCTCTCAAATAATTACCCCTGCCCTATTAATTACCCAATACAGCCAGAGGTTGAATCAATAATTACCCCTTTTTAAAACATTTATAATTAGCCTTTTAAAAAAGCTCAGAGTCAAATAATTACCCTCTCCCTTTTAATTACCCTCTCCAGCGAGAGGTTGAAATAATAATTACCCCGGTAATTATTTTAGCAAATATGGTATATATAGAAATGCATTTGGATTAATAAATAAAAGATTAAAATTAATATAAGGATTATTTTCAGGAATTAATAATAAGTGGTCATATAGTAAATATATATGTAAAATTAATTACCTTAATTACAAAATCAGCAAGTGTCTCTTCCTCAAACATTTTAATAAAAGATTTTTTCAGAATACGTAAGCGGTCTTCATTTTCTTCATACTTCCTCCCCATACTATTCATCATTATTGTTGATTCAATATCCTCTTTTTCTGATTCAAAGAATATCGTTGCGTATTCTACTTCACAAATAATACATAGCGAATCTGTTATTTGAATTTATATTATTTTAAAAATATATATTTAAATTGAGTCGATTTTCATATTTAGATACTTCTTGAGAATGGAAAAATTTGTATATTATAATGATACATAAATACTGAAAGTATCGCTTAGGAGCTCTCCCTCTCATCCAACGGTTATTTAAAACAAGAAACGAGGTGTTTAAGACTTCCAAGGCTCAGGACCAAAAATTAACAATTTTTTATTTTGCGTGCATCCCACACGAACATTCATAATTGAAAATTTATTTCATTTTAATGAAATAAAAATAAGGAATCCAAAAAACTCATACATTTCGGTGTAATCTAGAAAAGCTCAAAGAACTCGTGACTAAGACTTCACCCCAAGACAAGACCAAAAAACCCCCAGAAAAATCTGAACCAAGTGTCTTTTTTTAATTTTAGACGTTTAAATTTTTTATTTTTATTACTACATGAGAACTAACTCAAAAATGTCATATGTATGAGTATTTACCGTCAGGATGAAGAGATCTTTCTAAGTCAATAACAAATTCAGTAGTTTGAAAATAGCTTCGAAAATTATCATTATTTCTAAAAACAAATTATTTAGCAAGTAAGACTATCAATAATAAAACAAAAATTAGTGAGGGATATTTAGATAGATATTTTTAAATTCAGTTGTCTGAACTGAATTTTTGAATAATATCGGGGGTGAAATGACAACTCCTTTAAATGCCATTAATTGGGAAAAACAATTCAACAGTTAGGTATTTCATCTAATTTTATTATTTTATTTAGACTAGATCCCGGAATTTCGTATCGGTCGGTATTCCGTACCGTACTACCGATATGGAATACCGATAAATACCGAAAAATACGGCCGTAGTACGGTACGTTACGGGCTCTAATTTAGTCTGTATTTTCAAATAAAAAATATTTTTAATCAACTTACGAACAAATATCCACTCTTTTACCATCAGAATTAATAGCATATATTGTAAATCTTGCTTTTATTCTAGCCTCAGAATTATCTTTACCTACGTAAACAAGGGCAATTGAAGTAGCTTAATAGAATATTTTCAGAAAAAGATTTGAGATTTATAAAATTTATTTGAAAACATATTTAAATTCTGCATGAAACTGTTGGAAAGATTACTAATTAATCTCTTTCTGAAACGTTTTAAACAGATATAAAATACTTTACGGATTAGATAAACCTTTCTAAGGGTTCCCATGTTTAAGAGTTTATTTTAACTCAATTAGTTTACCGTCTTCTGTATATCCATTAGGAAAGAATCGTAATTTCCACTTAATTGCAGAACATTTACCATTATAAAATTGTTTACCTAAAAATATTTAAATTAAACAAATTCTTCCTTAAATATTTACAAACTTTTCAAACATAAACTTTTTTGTACAAATTTAATATGCAACTTGACGTCCTGTAATTTCCATTCAATTTTACTTTTTAATATTTCTGGCTTAAATTTTTATTAATTTAAAAAAATTAATTTTTAATTATATTAACCTTTAAGTATGTGTTTGAGTCAAAAAGTAATTCTTTAAATCTAATAATAATTTATATTTTTTTATTAATTAAAATTCTTTTTTTAATTTTTTAATTTAATATTAAAATTTTCTTAATGAATTAAAAGTTTTAATTCATTAAAAGTTTTAAATCATAACTTTTTTGTGCCGCAAGCGAAAATTTTGGAAAATATGGAAGGCCAAGTCATCAGATTTCTCCCATTTTTTGGTAAGAATATAATCAAGTCCTTATCGAGTCGGGCCGCATTTCTTCGAGTCATTCTTTTCGGGCCTTATTTTTTCGCACCGACCCGACCGAGTCTTTTTCGTGCCAAAATTCGATGCTCGACTCAATCTTTCGGAATGGACAGAACCGGTAACCCAAATTGAAACAGATAAGGAAACTCCGAAACTGAATTGTTCGGATTATGTTAGAATATAGTAGTTAGAATTGCTTAGAGGATTTCGGTCTTCCAACATACAACCAACCTTAAATAAACTTTATATAAATATTGGACGGGGAATTCTCTAAATCAAAATTTTAACCCAAATAACCCCAATCAACCTATTTCCCATTTCAGCTCGAAATATTTAAATGTCAATTATATAAAAATCATTCAAATTTGAAAGTGAATTTGTTTTCTGATTATTTTAATTTTTAGCAATACTTTGGCGATGTCGCCCAGCCACCATGCCATGCCATTTTTAATATTTAATTAAATATGAAAATTAATTTTGATATTTATGTATATTTGTTCTAAAAATTTTATAAATCTTAGGATTAATTTAATGGATAAATTTAATTTCCTAAAAGAAATAGAGAAAGGATAAAGCCTAATTAAATAAATTATAAATAAGCTGTGTTCCCAAGATTTTCAAACGTCTTAGACTTTCATTTATCGAACCCTATCCATACGAAAAAATACAGTTTTAAAAAGTATTTTGTTTTTAGTGAAATATTTTATGTAGTATTATGTTAGATTTACCCAGAAACGAATAATGGAATAATTTAAAATAAAAATTAATTTTATCAAAAATGCTGTAAACTTTTATGTAATGACTTTAAATAAATATGCTACCTACAAACAAATCAATTTATGCTAATAAGAAAAAACATTATTTCTTTAAGTTTTCTTTTTTCAAATTGAAGTTTTTATAAAAAAATTAAAAGTCAGATAAACATCTTTAAATTAATTTATTTCTCACTGAAATAAAAAATAAGATAAAAATATTTTACCACTTAATTGCTCATTTTTACGAAATTCGAAAAAATATTTTGTAAGTAATCTCATATTTAGGAGAGTTGCGTCCTAATTACGAATTACGGCGTTTTTCGAGTTATGAATTACGATTACGAAAATATCGGAAAAAATTACGAATTCGAAAATAAAAAATAAAATTTCGGAAAAATACTATTATTGCAGAAAAAACCTCTCGTACTTTGACATTAAATTTTCGACGGAAAAGTGAAAGAAATATGTATTTAAAATTTCTCTCACTTTCCTTTTGGTGATCGTTGGTTGAGTGGTTCTTTGTAGTGATCTGGAAAATATTTAAATATTTTAACCCTTTTCTTTAATCTAAATACATATAATTTTTTCAAAGTCATTCTTATGAATGTTCACTTTCCCGACTTAGTCGGGAATTGACATCGGAGTCGTGAAACCAATAACTCGGGAAAATTTCCCGATTCAGGAGTCGGGATCTTTGTAATAAAAGAAAGAATTACAACTTTTTGGTCTTCTTTAAATTCCAAAGCTATGGTATTTTATAGAAAAATTAAAAAAAACTCCATAGAAATAATTCAATTCTTAAATTAATTTTATATTTAATTTCCAAATATTATTTATAAAAATTATATAAATATATACATAGCTGATTCATCAGTTAGTAAATATAAT